GGACTCGATTGGTTCGAGGCCCTTGAGATTCAAGTGACTGGACTTCACAATCTGCAAATGTCAGGCCTTGCAAAAGTTTGCAAGGAGTTTGCTGATGTGTTCAGTTCAGAGCTTGTCTCGTACAAGGGGCCTCCCATTGCTTTACATTTAGACCCAGCCATCACACCCATCAGGATCAAGCCCTGATGGGTGCCTTTTGCCCTAAAGAACAAAACAGATGCAGAGCTGGACAAGCTGCTCCAGCAGGGCATCTTAGAACCAGTGGACTCTAGTCACGCCACTGAAGGCCAATGGAGAAGTTCAAATTTGTGTGGACTATAAATGTACACTAAATAAGGCATTGTAGCAGCATGCCTAACCGGTGCCTGTGGTGAGCCACATTCTGGCCTCACTCAAGGGGGGGGGAAATCTTTGCAAAGCTTGATTTGACTCAGGCCTATCAACAGCTACCTGTTGATGAGGCAACGGCTGAGGCCCAAATAATTGTAACGCACCGGGGAGCCTTTAAGGTAAAAAGACTGCAGTTTGGGGTTAATGTGGCCCCTGGAATATTCCAGAGTGTGATGGAGCGAACGCTCCTTGGTATTCCTGGGGTCTGTCCCTACTTTGATGATGTCCTCATTGCTGGGGAGTCATCTGTGAACTTAGGTGAAAGGCTGAGGGCTATCTTGCTGCGTTTCCACCAAGCAGCGCTGAAGCTGAAGCAAGACAAATGTAAGATTGGAATTACCTTCACTGAATTTCTGGGGTTCCGTATTGATGCTGAAGGCATCCATCCTGCTGAATCCAATCTCAAAGCAATTCAGCAGGCCCCAACTCCCAAGTCCAAAAGCGAATTCCATGCTTTTCTGGGACTGTTAAACTTTTACCATGCATTTCTACCTCACAAGGCAGCAGTGGCTGAGCCGTTACACCGGCTCTTGGATAAACAGGCTCCTTGGCAGTGGACACAAGTCCATGAAAAGAGCTTCTCAGAGGTCAAGGCCTTGCTTTCCTCAAATGCTGTGTTAGCTCATTTCAATGAGCAATTGCCTGTATGCATAGCCTGTGATGCATCCCCTTATGGGGTTGGCGCTGTGCTGATCCACCTCAAGACTGATGGCAAGCAAGTCGCTGTGGCCTACTACTCCAGAACTCTCTCATCTGCAGAGCATAATTACACGCAGATTGACAGAGAAGCCTTGACAATAGTGGCTGGCATAAAGAAATTCCATGATTTCTTATATGGTCGCCATTTCATGGTCTACACAGACCATAAGCCTCTGCTGGGTTTGTTTACAACAAACAAGCAAACCCCTCATATAATATCCCCTAGAATGTTGAGATGGTTAGTTTTCCTATCAGCATATGACTATACTCTGTTCCACAAACCAGGTAAAGAAATGGGCCATGCAGATGGCCTCAGCATATTACCTCTACCTCAGGTAGAGGCAAATCCTGCTCCTGCTCTTTGCATTCTCTCTATTCAGGAATTGCCTGAATCTCCCCTCAGTGCTAGGGACGTGGCTGCAGAAACTGCCACTGATCACTCGCTTACACACGTGCTGACATGGGTGTTGTCAGGGTGGCCTGACATGTGTCCAGGCTCAGAATTCCAGTTTCTGGCAGAGGAAACATGAACTTTCCACTTTCAAGGGAAATAGTCTTGTGAAAAAATAGAATGTATGTAAGGGAGGCTTAATAGTTCTCTTGAACTAAGGGCACACTCAGAGTTGGGGTGTTTTGTTTGATAGTATTAAACAATATGTGGTATTCTTGTAAATATGAGAAATGTCATGACTGGGTCTGCCTGAGTGCAGGCATCACTGTGTTAGAAATAACAACATGCTTAATTGAACATATGTATATGTATGCTGTTATAAAAACAGTAAGTATTATTGTTTTATCCAAGGGGGGAGGAGTGTTATGTCCTGAGCCTGCTGAATGACTCAGCAGGCTCAGGAGGCTGCAGAAGGCCCGGGCAGACCATGTGGTTGCCTGGGACCAGACAGGCTGTCTCCAGCCTTGTGAGCATGTGCAAGGTGGGAGACTAGCCTTGCATTGATAGGCTGATGCTGTCCCTGCAAAGGGAGTATAAAAGGGCCAGCGCCCTTTTGTTTGCTGTTCTGTTCTGTTTGTAATCTCAATAAAAAAGTTGTGTTTTGTTACTCCTGCCTTGCTTCGATTCTCTGATTCTAAAACAGAACATTGGTGACGAAGGTGGGATAGGTTGCAAGAAGAACAACAGGAGAAGCTAGGTTGACTTACCAGAGGTGCCAGTTAATTTCCGGGAGGTGTAAGCACAAGGTTGTAACTCCCCTCCCTGATTTTTTTGGTAAGAGAATGGCACCCACAGCCACAACACTTGCATCAGCTTGAATGATGAAGTGTTGTCCAGGGCCAGGGTGCTTAAGGACTGGTTCAGCTGCAAAGAGTCTCTTTAGTTTTTCGAACACTGCCTGGCACTCTAATGACCACTGCAATGGCTGACAAGGTCAGGGTTTTCCCCCTCTTTCTCCTGTTTTGAGTAAATCGATGATTGGCATTTGCTGTGGCTCAGATTGGGGTTTGGCTTTGAGCTCAGCGATAGGGGAGGCTTCAACACTCAGCCCTTGACGTGCCCAGTTTGTTTTTTCTCTTCCCCCTCTGGAAGCTCTTCATGGTTTCAAAGAGCTCATTTTCGGCTGACATTAATAATATTAAAGTAAAAGGAAGGAATACAAAGTTCTTTTATTTATCTATTTAAAGCTACTTAACACAGTTAAAATAGATATGTTATTATCTCTGGTAATCCTTAATGGACTTTTGTTGTCCAAGACTGAACAACCAAGCTTTAAGGATTTGTTTATAAAAAGAGATGAGAAATGGGAAGAAGAAATAATTTGTTATATTTAAACAGAAGGTGATAAATTACTTAAATTGTTTACACTGCTGTGAGGGAGGGAGAAGTTATTTCTCTCATTCTTTTACTATGCTATTTTTTTTCTTTTTTTCTGCACTTTATTCTTTTTATTCTTTTTTTTAGTTTGTTTTACTTTTTTATATTTTTAATTGTAATATATTCAAGGAAATTATTATTTAAAAAAGAATTCTCACTCTCAGAGCTATAGGTCTAATTGGGTCAGTGAGACAACATCAACTTTACTACTAGATGCTTTAGTAAGAGGTGGAACATGAGCACACTGATCTGAAGCCTTATTAGTGGTGAAGTACTTGGGCAACACTGAAGATGATTCATTTTAGAGGGCTTTGGGGGGGCATTTATACCTTCCTATAGTGCAGTGGTTCTCAACCTTTTTAATGCCACGACCCCCAACCGGTCGTAAGTCGAGGACTTTCCCTGCCCGGGAGCACCACGCATGCTTGGTGCCGCCCCCTGTGCTGGCCGAGGCATAGCTGGCAAGCGGCAGAGACGGAGCAGGCTGACCACCGGCTGGGCCACCAGCTGGCCCAGCCCAAGGGAGGTAAGGCACCCGCCAGAAAAGGGGAAAAAATGGCGGACAGCCTTGCTTGGCAACCCCCGTGAAATGGTCGATCGACCCCAAATGGGGTCGCGACCCATAGGTTGAGAACCGCTGCTATAGTGTAATCTTAGTGCACACACCTCCCTAAAAATCCAAACACCAAAATGAACACAAATGAACAATGAAAACTATAAAATGAAACTGTGAGAAACATGGACTTACTGCAACTCTGTAAAACTAAAAAGTTCTTCACACCACCCCTATTTGCACCTCCTCAAGGAAGATATCTTTCACAGTTTGGGAAGCCCTGCTTTAGACAAACTGTGGAGAAAGAGAAGTTTCTCTCTCTCTCTCTCTTTCTCTCTCTCTCTCTCTCTCTCTCTCTCTCTCTCTCTCTCCCTCTCTCTCTCTCCCTCCCTCCTTCCCTCCCTCCCTCCCTCTTTTAAAAAAAAACCTTGAGATCATTTCCTGAAAATAATTGCATGAAAATTCAGAACCAACGGAATGAAATGATTTTTCACTCAGCTCCTATTTAAACTGTGGAATTGGCTGCCAGCAACTGTGGTAAGGACAGCCAATTTAGCAACATCCAACCAAAGTTTATGGGGGATCAGGCTATCAATGTCTATTAATACCAACAGCTGTTTGCCACCTTCTGAATCATAGGAAGCATGACTTCCCCACAATTTGTGGGGAAGGGATGGTGGAAGAGAGCCCTTATTCTCCTGTCTAAGTTCAACATCTTCCCCAATGCCATCCCATTTGCTAAAGAGTGGTGCAATAAACTGGTCTAGAGAAGCCTACAAGCTAATCCATCAGAACTTGGATTTTTATGCTTTAAATTATAAGGCTGGCCAAAAAGTAATAAACTGGAACCACAAATAGATAATATTTGGTTTTCTTTCCAAATCCCATGAAGCCCAGGAGCCTTGGCGCACTGCATTGCAATGCATTCGATAAGAGCAATTTTCTTCCCTTGGCATTGTGTTTACACAAATACAATCAAGGATTTTATCCCCAGCATTTTTTTTTCCAAAGTACAAATTCTACCTGTAACCCAGTAGCATCCAATCTCCCCCAACACCTCCTGCCTGAGGCCAATATAACTATCATTTATACATGTGGAGCTAAATCCCTGCGGCAACCTACTGAAAACTAGGCCTCAGCCCTGAAATTTTCACTGTGGGGATCTCTCTTTTTTCTTCATACTGAGGCAATTAAGGTTTTATGGAAGTCCACAAAGAGGAGAATGATTTGCTAGAAAGAACTGATTAAATTATTAAGCAACACACTTGCACAAGACACAATGTGGTACAAAATAAAGCATAAACTTTAGTAAAGTCCGTATTTGAACTTAAGATGTACATCATGGCATTCTTTCTAGAAGATAGACAGTATAAAACGTCTTGAATATTAAAGCAGCATTGATGGTGTTAGCACTGATGGTATCACCTAGTTTGGTAATGAAACGTCTGCAAGGAAACAACCAAACTCAGAGAGTATCAAGGACCTCACAATGTAGCATATATTTAAATGAAATATCTTTGAGTTACATACCATTGTTGTTCTTGCATTGGGCATACAATACACGGTTTCCTTGTCCACATATTCCATTATAAGGGAAACAGTTTCCTTCTGAAATGCTCCAGTCATAACAGATTGGATTGTCACACGGAATAGCCTCTATCAAATGTGGGCAGTTCTCAGAATTACCAATGGAATCCACAACAATGTATCTGTGCCTCATTTTGAAACCTAAGAGGAGAGGAAGGGGGGGGGGAGAAGGCAAATAGTTAAAATAAGAAGGAAGAAACAATACTGAATAATTTCCAACTGTCAATCCATCTTGAAAATGAACAAATGCAATAGAGGTAAGAAACACATTTTCTCACATTTCTAGCTCTTTGCCTTTGGCTAGACAGCTCTGCTAACTTTTAAGCTGCCTTGCATATTTACGATGAAATGACAAGAAGGTGCTGTTAAAAATCTCTCAGGTTACATTGCACGTACTAAAGAAGATCAAACCATGCTTGTGCACTTTAGAAAAGAAGACTGATAAAGCATTTTTCCCTACTTTCCGATTCTCCCTCACTATTTCTCATGTAGAAATTACACATTAGCACGTGCCACATTTGTATTGAGGGAATGTAGGAAAAAGGATAGACTCGCTGGCGAACATGACTGCTTCTCCATTATGCCTACATATTTGCATTGTTATGAAAAAGATTATTTATTCATCTTGTTCAATAACAAACCAAACATAATAGAGCTCATTTCACATAATATTCAACTCCTGGGGAAATGTGTAGCTGAACAACCTTACTCCCACTTATACCTTTACTGGTTTCTAGGCTTACTTTATGCAAGTATATACTGTTGGAGTAATCAGAGTGCAGGCAGAGTCATCCCCATGTGATGTTTAAAGAAATCCATTTTTTAAAAAAATTCACATTTGTTAAATAGGTAGGAAGGAGCTTACACGTATGCATACTTCAATACCACGTGCAAATCAGAATTTGGCATAAAGCACATTGGTTTTGTTACCAAAGTAGGTGACATCATCAGTGCTAGAAGGTAATGGTGTTCTCCTTTAGCACTGATGATGTTACTTATCTGGGTAATGAAACATCTGCAAGAAAACCGCCAAGCTAAGACAGCACCGAGGACCCCACAGTTCAACCCTGAAGTACAAATATTTTCTGCTTTCGGTACATTAGTTTTAATCAGAAACTTATTCTCATATGCTTCATGGACTCATTTCATGACTTTGAGGTCCCCATGCTCTAGTGAACTTTTGAGGTAGTGGTATCTAAAGAAAAAGGTCAAAGCAGGTAAGATGTACATAGTGATATGAACTACCGTAATTACCACCCTTTTTGTATTGCATCAAAATTGCATACCTTCAAAAGGAATGGGGCTTACAATCTGATGCCGTATCCATCCTCTTATCCACTTTGATACACACACACATACACACACACAGAGAGAGAGAGAGAGAGAGAGAGAGAGAGAGAGAGAGAGAGAGAGAGACCCCTGTTGTGAAGTGGAACACTTCCACTGTATGAGTAGGCATTGCACATAAAATCCTAATTTCAAATAGCAGATCTATACAGAGAGAAGAAGGGACTGGATAGTTGGTGAGTGTGAACTTGGACTTCTTTCTTACAAAACAAAAAATAGGCCAAGTTAAACACTTGGCTAATTTAATCATGGATTGCAATTCTGATTTGCAAAATAACTATGGTTTGCTAAAAACTAGGACACCCAGGAAAGAAGCACACTTTATAAAGGGAATAAAAAGTCAAGCACTTCAGGGGAAACTGAAAGGAAACATTATCCAGTACATCTACAAAGCATCAGGTTGAAGAAATACCCTACATTATGTTGAACTTATTCTCAAATGCACCTTTTCTTCCTGGAATTTCTTGGCAGTCTTCATGAACGCAAGGGCCCCATGCTGACCAGGAAGAAACAACACACTCAGGAGGACACGGAATGCTACACAGTTGAGACGCAGGAGGAGCAGGAGAAAGGCAAAGCTTCTTTTCCGCAGGTCTAGTCACTTAAGAGAGGAAAAAAAACATAAAAGGAAAAAGAAATTGTGTAGCTTATTCCTTTGAATTGCTGAATATTTCCAAATTCATATGCATTACTACGGGCAGATTCTCACCGCAGCAACCAAAGGTATGTCTGACTTCAAGCTAACAATAGTGTAAAAATCAGAAGAAATAAAATTTCTTACATTATTCTTATCTATTTTAATTATTTGGTTGTTTTTTTAAAAAAAATATTCTAATCAGGATCACAGTACCTGCTGTTCTGAAGAAAATGTTTTATTAGATCTATAGCTCAGGACACCGCAATTCTTTCCCATGAACCTGCCTATAATCTTGACCTCTAGTCTCACTGTTTTCCTTTTTGATATATTACTACCTTGATTATGAGTGTTGTTGCTTCATCTCTGCCACTCTTCATCATGAAGTTCTCTTACTAACTCAAAGATTCCACTGATCATTGCCTAGAATATCTGTAGGATTCTTTCTCTCCGACATCTTCTACATCTCTATCCAAGCATCCCCATGCACTAATACCTTTTAGCAGTAAGCATGTCACTGCATGCACATCTAAAATGATTACATCTTCTTTTGGAGCTTCCCCATAGTCTATGTACTTTATTAACGTAGTCTCATAGTCTACATACTTTACTAATATCAATACCTGGGAAGATCCCGGAAAACATAATAAAAAACCAGATCTGCGAACAACTAGAAACAAACAAAGTTATAACCAGTAGCCAGCACGGGCTTGTCAAAAACAGATCATGCCAAACCAATCTTTTTCATTCTTTGATAAACTGACTAAATTAGTTGACTAGTGAAATACTGTGGACATAGGATACTTAGACTTCAGCAAGGCATTTGAAGTAAACCACAACCTGCTGCTTAGTAAGCTAGAAAAAGGTGGGATAGAAAACAATACCATCAGATGGATCTGTAGCTGGCTGACAAACAGTACTCAACGAGTAGTCCTCAATGGTACTACATCCACATGGAGAGCAGTGGGGTACCACAAGGCTCCGTCTTAGGCCCAGGACTCTCCAATATCTTCATTAATGACTTAGATGAGGGAATAGAAGGGAAACTCATCAAATTTGCAGATTACACTAAACTGACAGGAATAGCTAACACCCCAGAAGACAAGCTCAGAATCCAAAAAGATTTTGACAGACTTGAAGAATGGACCCTATCCAGCAAAATGATTTTCAGTGTGGAGAAAAGCAAAGTTTTACATTTAGGCAGGAAAAATCAAAGATTTAACTACAGATTAGGCAAGACTTGACTCAAAAACAGAAACTTGGAGTCCTAGTGGACGATCACTTGACTATGAGCCACCAGTGTGCAGCAGCAGCCAAAAAAGCTAATACAATCCTGGGTTGTATAAACAGAGGCATAGAATCAAGATCACGTGAAGTATTAGTACTGCTTTATAAAACCCTAGTAAGACCACACCTGGAATACTGCAACCAATTTTGGTCACCATACCACAAAAAAGATGCTGAGACCTTGGAAAAAGTTCAGAGAAGAGCAACTAAAATGATAAAAGGCCTGGAGACTAAAACATATGAAGAATGGCTTCAGGACCTGGGTTTGGCTAGTCTAAAGAAAAGAAGAAATAGGGGTGACCTTATAGTAGTATTCCAGTATTTAAGGGGCTGCCACAAAGAAGAGGGGGTCAAACTATTCTCCAAAGCACCAGAGAGCAAGACAAGAAACAATGGTTGGAAACTGATCAAAGAGAGAAGCAACCTGGAATTAAGGAGAACCTTCCTAACAGTGAGGACAATTAACCAGTGGAACAGCTTGCAGTCAGAAATCGTGGGCGCTCCATCACTGGAGATTTTTAAGAAGAGACTAGACCAGTGGTTCTCAACCTTTTTAATGCCGCAACCCCCAACTGGTCGTAAGTCGAGGACTACTCAACCGGGCGTAAGTCAAGGACTACTCCACTGGTGCAGCACCATTTGCAGAATGGGACTTTTGGCGGGCTCAGCAGGGCAGAGACAGCCTGGACAATTCCTATTGGCTTTTGAAAGCCAATAGAATTAGACTCTATTCAAGAGAGTCTATTCTATTGGCTTTCAAAAGCCAATAGAATAAAAGGGAGTAGCACAGCTAAGGAAAAGGGGGAAAAAAATGGCGGACTGCGTTGTTTGGCGACCCCCATGAAATGATCGTTTGCCCCAAATGGGGTCCCAACCCACAGGTTGAGAACCACTGGACTAGACAGTCATTTTTCTGAAATGATATAGGTTCTCCTGCTCGAGCAGGGGGCTGGACTAGAAGACCTCCAAGATCCCTTTCTATTCTGTTCTGTTCTGTTCTGTTCTGTTCCCGCATCCAGATGACAGAATATAAATGAATGACTAACCAGAATTTTAGGGGAAAATGATTGTTTTGTAAGCAGGAAAGAAAATGTGATTCAAGGGAATAATTGAAGAATAGTCTAAACAATATCAAACAAATAAGTTAGGGTATTTAAGTCAAGCACTTTTAAGTACACATGGTAGTGGAAAGAATATACATTCTGTTTGTACAATTTTAACTCAGGTTTGACTTATCCTAGTAGGAAAGATAAATATCCTGTGCTCTATTTTTCATTCGATGTGTTCCTGCTCCTAAACCAAGCATGTACATGATGTACTGTACACCCTTATTCAGAGAAACATGAATTACAGAAAAGTTGAGGAACGGGTATTTAAAGGTTTCACAGCCAATTGTCATAACAATCTTGTTTCACAATGAGATAATATTTAATTCAAAATTAACAGACAGTGGTAACTTGGCTACAAAGATTATTTTTATTATTATGTATTTCCAAAACAACATTGCCTCTGACATATCCATTTAAGGACTGTAAAAGCTGGCAGGACTCCAATTCACTTTACTTCTCAATATTGTAGTCCTTTTCCTACAGGTTCAAAAAATCATATAGCAGAAAAGTGTAAAATACATATTAGCTTGCTTGTTTTAGCCATCAAGCTATATTCCCTTTCAACGAGGTTCATGCATTTCTTAATATGCCCTTCAGCATCGTTCTTTACAAAACAATTTATCATTCTGGTAATTTACTGGCAAAGAAGCAAATCAGCCTCATTGCATTTTTTTTTCATCACAAACAGATTCAGTTTCAGCAACACAAAAACAATATTAACCATGTTGCTAAGTGCTCTTGCTTGTTTAGATATAGTTTTGAAATGCCCATTGGCAACAATCTATTTATTCTGAGTACACCAGCAATAAATGTAGTAAGTCGTATTAATTCTAAGAATAAGAAAAATAGGTATTTTTTTTCTAAAATGAAAAAGTTGTAGAACTGAAATCAGAAAAAATGAAATGCAACAGGCTGCAGTAATGACCCTGATATTTTAATGTTATAAAAACCTCTTTTTGTGGAAGATAGATATCAAGCAGACAGCAATATTAGCAATTAGCCTGAAACAGAAGTTATAAGAGTACCAAGTTGCAAAAGAATTATTATCAACTGCAACCACATAGCGTGAAATACAACTTATGTAAAATAGGTTGACTTTTGTTGATGTAAAAATATAAATAATGGTACACAAAATCCCATTACAGTATTATTCTCCCTTTTTTCTCTCTTAAAGGCCACTGAAGACTCCATAACGGGAGCTACAGTCAGTTCTTTTGGATTATTATCACTAACTTGCGACAGTTATTTCCATATAGAGGAAAAGTGGACTTGATGTGCTCATAACCCTGTAAAAAAATCCTTCATATGGGGAAGTGCAAGAGATACATTTATTACCTAAGCTTAACCAAGATATGGTTCGAAATGTTTCTAGCTCCAGGAATCTGGTGCTCATAGCTATTATTTCTGAAGCAAAGCCATCCCTGAACATTCAAGACACAAAATAACCTTGTGTGTTCAAGTTGAGGAACACACAAAGCTTTCATTGCAAGATGATTTTTTTGTTTTAAAAAAATACTATTTCTAAACCAGGCATGTCAAACTCGCGACATCACATGACGTCGCGCGATGTAGCGGGACTTTTCTTTTTCCCCATTGCCAGCAAAGGGGTGGGCGTGGTTTCAGAATGACACATCCAGCCTGTGGGCCGGCAGTTTGACACGGCTGTTCTAAACCGTTAAAAAAAATCATATTTAATTAAGAAATAATTTCATATCCTAAGACATGTGGTGTAGAATTATGTGGCCTATCAAAGCTCTCCACCCAACAAAATCAACCACATTTTCAAAGATTTATTCTAGCACCAATAGGAATTCATCTGCAGCAGCAGTCAAAGCTGAAGGAAGAACCCACTCTATTTACACTCTAACAGTAATTCAACTCTTCAACTACTGGTGGAGGTCAAGTCTTCCAATGGAACCTGAAAGGCTACTAAAAATGTGCCTTGAAGGGCAGACTGGCATACTTCAACTCACCATAACAAGGGTGGGGAACTATGGCCCTTTTATGACTTGTGGACTTGCCGACTCAGGAATTCTGGGAGCTGAAGTCCACAAGTCATAAAGGGGCCATAGTTCCCCACCTCTGATATAGATGAACAAAATCATCGAACTGCTTGACTCGCCCACACAATATGAACTCTCAGACCTCAGGCCAAGGCAATATTCAAAGAGCCTTGAACGCTAATATTCAAACCAACACTGAGTCACTTGCAAACATCATGTAGTTGAAATGCTGGCCAAGAGTAAAATATCTTGTTAAATTAAAAAAAAATAGCTGACAATGAGTCTGCCCCCGAGCAAGATTTGATCTGCTGAGTACTGTGATTCAGTATGCACAATTCCATCAAGTGCCACTTTCCGATAAAATATGTGTTTGTGAAGCACCAGAAATAGAAGACAACATGTATGTCCTATTCAACTACCAACTATTTGCCCCAGCAAGATTTTAGTATTTACAGACATTATTTGACAGAACTACACAGAGGGACTATAATAACATACAATCTTATTTTCTTCAAGGCAATAACATAGTCCATGTATTATCTTTACAGGTTCAATTTAGTCTAAACAT